ATACTGCAAGTGCTTTATAAGTCACTGGAATGACAGAGTTTAAAAGTGGGGTTTTTTTGGTTTGGGTTTTTTTTTTTTTTTTTTACCCAGTGGCACTTGTAAATTATCAGGAGGGTGATGTTCCTGTGTTTTGCATTTAAGAGGATCAATCAGTGATACTTAGGTCAGTGTGGACAAGTAAACTTTTTAAGAAGTCAGCTAGCTTCTCTTCCAAACAGAAATGTTTGTGAAATTTTGAAACTGCGAAGTGCTATGAAAACAGAGAGTAGTGATTATATTGCCACTAGGTGCTGGTAGGACAGAGAAGAGCTGGAGAGACTGGAGACCCTGAGTTAAGTGGACAGATTGTAAAGGAAACGTGTGGTGGTAGAGCTTTGGGGACAGCCTTGCTGGTCAGTGGAATGAGATTGGCCACTGGGATACAAGGCCATGGAGTTATTGGCATACATGCAGAGATAAGAGTAAGGATGATGGTGTGGTGTGGGGAAGAACAGGGCCTGAGTATTAAGAAGCTATTCAGGAAGTTGGAAACGTCTTTGGATCCTTAGGAGACCACAGTGGTAATTATTTGGAGTTTGGTAAAAGTAAACCATTCTGAGGGCTAAAAGACACTGGTATTGAGAAAACTTCTTGCTCCTTCCTTTTCCTTTCTCCCAACATGTAGACCTAGTGGTGTGATATTGAAGCCTGCTGATGAGTTGTAGTCCCTGTAAAGTTGGTTTTTCCTTTCTGAATATTTAGGTCATCCCGAAATACAAAATTTAACAGGATTGTGCTTTATTATTGTAACAGGATTCTACAAGAAAAATCTCTTTGAGATACATCAAAAAAGCTGCCCACACAGAGCCATTATATTGTTTACTAAGGTTACCAAATGCCCTGGTGTGCCCCGAAGTGAGAGGTTTCTGTGGGAGCAGAACTAAAACGTGGATAGTCCTGGCAAATCATTGTAAGTTAGTCACCCTCTCTTTAACGGTCCCATTTTATAAATGAATTGAAATGACCGACAATACCTTTTTATAAATGATATCTATATGGAAGTAACATTCCTGTATTATTAAAATTAAGTCTCTTATTTTGTAGTCTATGCTTTTATGAAATACTTATTTTCTGCTTTAGAGTTGCTAAGTCTTGGATATTTTAGGGGCAGGGAAGCTGCTTTTTTCATCTATATATTGGCCACTTTCATTGAGTTTTAAATTTTGTGCAGTTGATAAATAGCTTTGCTTAAATGCGGGCTTTCTGATCTTCCAAGTTCCACATTCATTAGATGAAACATCTCCAGCACCTGACTATGTACCATCCTGTCTTGTTACTGAAATGTTTACTATGTATTAATACTGTCTTCAAAACTAGACTAGGTATTGAAGTTGGGACTTTTGTCTTCCACCATTTTTGTGTCCTTGCCATGCCCACTTTACAGACTAGGCAGTCAGTTACGTGTGAAATTGATCCAGGCAGATAGATATGTGATGGTAGTTTTCTGGCTTTTCCAAGCCTTGATCCTATGCATAGCATGCGAAATGGATCAGATTTGTTGTTCTTTTTTCTTAATATTGCTTCTGAAAGTAGAAGTCTTCTTTACTTAAGAAAGCCATCTTGAGATGCCTGGGTGGCTCAAGTCGGTTAAGCATCTGCCTTGGGCTCAGGTCATGATCCTGGGGTCCTGGGATCCAGTCCCTCATCTGGCTCCTTGCTCAGCCTGGAGCCTGCTTTCCCTCCGCCTGCCCCTCCCCCTGCTGTGTGTGTGCGTGCACGCATGCTCTCTCGCTCTCTCTCTCTCTGACAAAATCTTTAGAAAAAAAGGCCATCTTGAAGTAAGCAGGCAATTAAGATACATCTTCTAAGTGGGGATTCAATAGGCCTATAACCTTGGAAGACTGGAAGCATAGTTAATTATCTATATTCAGGACTCTCTATTCTTTGTAGTTGAATAATAACATACAATTCTGTGGCATTTTTAAAGGCTTGAGCTGGACAAAATCAGCTTACATATAACTGTGGGCATAGTTTATGACCTAAATTCATTTGGATGAATAACCAATTTGCTCAAAAGTTTGTTAAAACTCAGACTTTGTTTTTTCCTTTTGCCATAGTTGGTCACACAGCTGTTAAGTGGTAGGATAGATGAAATCAAAATAGTATGACTGAGGAGTTGGCTCTTAAACTTTGTACTGTATTGTCTCCCACAATTTGCTCCTCTTCTGCTCCCTATCCTGGTTGTGGCACCTTCATCCACCCAGAGAGTGAAGTGGGAAATTTTAGTTGTTCAGAATCCTTTCTAACCATCAGCTGTCCCAAAACCATCTAGTCAAAGATCTTATATATTTCCTGAGTTTTTTCCCTCATGCTACCTGCTCTGGTTCAGATAAACTCAGTATTTTAAATCTAACCCCACTCCTGCCAAAGTTACTCTTCTCGAATGTGATTCTCTGTTATTGAAACCCACTGGTGTCTATCAGTTACCTTATGATAAACTTTAAACCACTATGCTTAGGGCACCTGGGTGGCTCAGTTGGTTAAGTGACTGCCTTTGGCTCAGGTCATGATCCTGGAGTCCCACGTCGGGCTCCCTGCTCAGCGGGGAGTCTCCTTCTCCCTCTTGGCCCTCACCCCACTTGTGCGCTTGCTCTCTCTCATTCTCTCTCTCTCAAATAAATAAATAAAATCTTTAAAAAAAAAAACCAATAAACCACCATGCTTGCTATATTTTGAATGCCGTATAAACTATTCCATAGAATCCTCTACAATTTAGAATACTCTGTTAGCCTGTTAGCCTTATCACTTGTCACTGTCCTTACTTTCCATTTTTCAGCCATTCCAATAGCTCTCTGAATGCTCCATGCTTTCTGTAGTTTTCTCTTAAAGAATTATACTTCAAGACACAGTTCATTCTAAGATTGGTTATCTTCTGTGAACCCTTTCCTGATTCCTGTAGTTTGAATTACCCACTTTTTCTTGTGTGCCCCAGATGTACTACTTTACATTTTGCATCTGTTTTAGTAACTGTAACACTGAAAGCTATTTATTTGTTTACAGGTTTGTCTCCTCACTAGACTATGAGCTCCTTGAAAGAAGGAATCGTGTCTTACTCATCTTTATATCCCCAGTGTCTAGCACAGTTCCTGGTACATAGTAAGTGATGAGCAACTTCTTTTTTAACTAAGACTATATCTAGCACAAACTCCATTTATTGATAATTATACCTCTACACCTACATTGTCATAAAAAATAAGACTATAGACTTTTAACACTTTTGAGGCACAATTTCCTCATCTGTAAGATGAGAATAGTACCTCCCTACTCATACAGTGTTATTATAATGCCAGATTAAAAAATATATATAGCAGTACATTGTATTTTAAGTGTCACACAACTTTATGTTATTAAATGAAGTATGGGAACTAATTGTATGTTGAATTTGATTATTTTATTTGCATTATTCCTCCCCTTTTAGGGCAAAAAGGTACCATTTTTGAACTATGTTGTGTTTTGCAGTTTAAATTTGCAGTTACTGATTATCAGGAGCATGTACTCAAAATAACAAATCCTGTGCCTGTTTATCTTCTTTATTATCATCAGTTATCTTTCTAATTGACTAATAAGGTTCCTCAATTTTCTTTTAATCTACCTCCAAATGAATTAATATCTTTACCTTTCCTTAGATCCTTCATCCATTGTTCAGAGGAAGAATTGTGTTTTTTTGGAAGACTAATCACATCATCTGTGTGAAAGCTTTGTCCTTTCCTATTTTTCCTGCACAGGCTATAGACATGCTCCCTTACCATCACACTTGATGAATTAGTGATCTGCACTTTATCTACTTCCTTGCCTTCCATGCATTCTTGAAATTTTTAAAAATTCTGTAATTGGAACATGCCAGAATATGTGTAACATGTGGAAGTTAATAATAAAAACAAACATTTGGGAACCAACCACTTAAGAACTAGGTCAGTACCAATACAGTTGAAGAGCTACCTGTGAGCACCTCTGTAACTGCATGTTCCTGTCTTTCCCCAACCCCTGAAGTAACTGCTATTCTGAAATTTTTTATCTCTTTTTAAAATTATAATACCACAAATGTATTTTTTTGTTTTGAGTTTAATAATTGTTTATAGCCTTTGTAAACTTTGCACAAATGGTATTTTATTATAGAGGAAAACCTATTTTACAAATCTTTATACATTCCAAAGAAAACATTCAAGTATCATAAAAGAATACATAGAAAAATTTCAGTGTGCACATCCAAGTTTATAACAAAATAGTGCTGGAGACTTATTTCTGGACTGTGTAGTTATTGCTGCACCACATACAAAATAAAATGCTTTATCCAGAGTGTAGAAATATAGCAGAAGTATTTCCATACTAAGTTTTCTTAGTTTGTGCAGAAATGTTTCGATTAGATTCACAGTGTACTTCTTGGAAGACTGACAGTTTGTCATCTAATTTCCCTTTGGACCTCAGCATTTCTTCAGTGGGTTTCATTCAGTTGTTTGTTGACTGTGTAAGCATTTGAGACTCAGGATCTACAACGTCTCCATGTTTCTTTCTCAATCATGGAATTGTTGTATTTTCAAAGGAAATGCATGGGAAAAGATGAGGTCATGATAACTGCCAAGAGAACTCATTTCTTTCTTTGTGTTTAAGAGTTGGAAACATTTCTTGATGACCTCAGTGTAGAATGTTAAATCTTTGAGGTGGGACTGAGTGAGAGGAAGATGTTAGTACTCAGAACTCCATTTGTATTTTTTTTTCATTCACTATTATGTTTCTAAGACCCATTCATGTTGTGGCCTACAGCTATAGTTCATTCATTCTCACTGCTGTATAATGTTCCATTGTGTGAGTTAGCCTAATTCATTTAACCATTTTTCTACCAGTGGATATTTGAGTATTTTTCTTTTTTCTTTTTTTTGTTATTTTTAAGTATGCTTACATTTGGCGCACAAGTACAAAAATTTCTATACTGTGTACCTAGAAGCTCACTGAAGGACGTGCAAAATTTCAACTTTATGTGATAATGCCAAATTGTTTTCCAGCAATTGTACCAATTTTAACACCTACCAGGAGGATTTTACCAATTTAAACACCTAGTAGCATTCTATAGGAGCCACCACCTTCTTTACTTTTTTTTTTTTTTTTTTTTTGGCCATTATTTGGTACTGTCAACATTTCTAGTTTTTATCATTCTAGTGAGTTTATTTTTCTAGTAAGTTTAAAAATAACATCTCATGTGGTCTTAACTTGTATTTCACTGATGAATAATGAGATTTTGCATCTTTTCATATACTAATTGGCCTTACAAGTTTCCTTGTTCTATAAAATTCCTGTTCAAGTTTTTTGCCCATTTGACTACTTGTGTTTTTTTATAGACATTCTCATATAGTTTAAATACTAATCTTTAATCAGCTTGTGTTTTGTAAATATCTTCCAGTTTGTAGCTTATCTTTTTAATTTGCTTTATTATGTTTTATGATAGACAGAAGTTCTTGGTTTCCACATAGTCAAAATATTCACACTTTTCTTTTTTGGTTGGTATGCTTGTTTAAGAAATCTTTTTCTGGCAGGGCACAAAAACAGTAGTTTTCTGCTCTAATTTCTTCTAAAAATTTTAAAGTTTGTCTTTCATATGTACATCACTAATCCATCTTGAATTGATTTTGTATATGATGTGAGGATCCAATTTAGTTTTTCCATATAGGTAATTTCAGTATTATTTAGTTGTCCCTCTTGTTCCTCAGATCTGCATTGTTACATCTGTTACCTGAGGATGTCCTTACATACCTTGGTCTCTTTTGGGGCTTCCTATTTTGTTTTGTTTTATTTACCCTTCGTCAGTCTTGTCAGACATTTATTTTTTTAGTGTTTTCTAAGAATTCTAACTTTGTTAAATCCTTTTTTTTTTTTTTTTTTTAGATTTTATTTATTTCAGAGAGAGAGCATGAGCATGTGTACAAGCGGGGGGAGGGGTAGAGGGAGAGGGAGAGAGAGAAACCTAAGCAGACTCTATGCTGAGCACGGAGCCCAACATAGGGCTCAATACCACGACTCCAAGATTACAACCCTAGCTGCAATCAAGAGTCGATACTCAACTGACAGAGCCACCCAGCCTCCCCTTTGTTAATACTTCTGTTACCTTTCTTCTACTTCATTAGTTTCTTTTCTTTATTATTTGTACTTTTTTGGGGTTTACTCTGTTGATTGCTTTCTAGGTTAACAAATTGGCCTATTTACTTACTAATTTTCAGCCTTTCTTCTTTTCCTAGTATAAGTGTTTAAGGCTATAGATTTGCCTCTAAGTTAACTTTTGTTGTATCCCACAAATTTTTATATGGTACCTTTGATATCATTCAGTTCTTAATAGTTTTAAAAAATTTTTTCAGCATGGTTTCTTCTGACCCATGAAATCTTTAGAAGTTTTTTTCTATTTGTGTTTTTAAAATTCATCTTCCATTATTGATTTTTTTAAGATTTTATTTATTTATTTACAAGAGAGAGCGTGAGCGTGTGTGCACACGAGGGGGGGGCAGAGGGAGACAGAAAAGCAGACTCCCTGCTGAGCAGGGAGCCTAATGCACGGTTCAATCCCAGGACCCCGGGATCATGACGTGGGTCAAAGGCAGACCCTTAACCAACTGAGCCACCCAAGCGCTCCCTATTGGTTTTTTTTTTTTTTTTACTTAATTGTATATGGTCAGCACCTAGGAACAACATTATACATATTCTTTGAAATTCAGTGAGATTTTCATTATGTACCAGTATGTATTGGTTTTCTATATGCTTCATTTATGCTTGAGAAGAATGTTTATTTTCTAACAGTTGGGTATAAGGTTATAGAACCTTATACCTATATATGTTTGTTAAGTCCTGCTTTTTCATCATTTTGTTTTTATTTTTATTTTTTGGTTTATTTGACCTATGAAAAATTGGACTGTGTTGAAATCACCTACAGCAATGCCAATTTGTAAATTTCTTCCTGTAGTTCTAAAAGTCCTTTGAGGCTTTTTTCCCCTTGCCAAGAGATGGTGAGTTTGTCTGGATATTTTGTCTTGTTTGGATAGATATTCGATTTGTTCAGGAATGTTTCAGGGTAGCTAGAGAGCAGGAAAAAGTGCAGGATGTGGAGGTCTATTCTGTATAATCTTCCCCCTCATTTTAACCTTATCCATCAGCTGGGAGAGTGGAATACTTACAGTACTGAACTTACAGGCTGGATTCTTCAGGTGTCTTTGGCTCAGGTGCAGATTTGGACTTTTTTTTTTTTTTTTTAAGTAAGCTCCAAACCTAGTGTGGAGCCCAACGTGGGGCTCAAACTCAGGACCATGAGATCAAGACACTTAACCGACTGAGCTACCCAGGAGCCCCCATATTTGGAATTTTGATCCTTTTTGCCATGTTTCCTTTCAGACTCCTTCCATTTGTCTTTGTTCCCTTCATGTCTTGGGCCATGCTGGACTTCCTGCTTCTACTTTTTGGACACTCTCACCTCATCTAGTTTATTTTTATCTTTTCAGGTTGATCCTTCCTGAGATGGTGAGCTGGAGCTACTTTCCCCCTTCCCTTCTAGGAGATTGCTGTTCTGTTTGAGCTCTGAAATCAAGCATAAGAATTAACACTTCACTTCACCCAAGCATCCACTTTTAATGGAGGGGACAGCATTACCTTTAGCAGCTAATCAGGTTTGGGAAGATTAGAAGTTGGAGAGTGGCAGTCTTCTGCCGTACTGAGTATTTCATTTTCCAGATTTCTCACTTTCTCTCCTTTGTGCATCCTGCTCTGACTTCTGATGCAGCTGAGGTCCCAGTTTGAGATGAGAAACTTCCTGTCCTTGACCATTCTTGTTTCTGAGTTTTTTCACTTTGCCAGTTTGGGTGTTTCTTCTAAGGCTGTCATTCTAGTTCTGGTTCATCTAGCTGATGCTACGATTTCTCCTGTTCCTTCTGTAGCTGCTTTTCTACTTCTTGTTCTCTTGTAACTGGGTCAATAGGCCTTGCTGCTCCAAACATAGGAGCTGCTTGACTCGACTGGGAAGTGCCAGCCAAGGAGTCCTCTTCCTTAGGAGTACTCTGAAGCTTTAGATTCAGTTTGGTTCTTTGAGAGGGACCTCTGTCATCACATGTAATCATCCCCAGAATAGTTGTCTTTGCAGCTCCTCAACTAAACATCATGTCTATCATATTGGTCTTCCCGGTGGTCCCACTCCCTCTGTAGTCATCATCCCTGTTGTACCCACTACCGTATATACTTCTGCTGCTGTTTAATCCTGGAGTCATAGCCTCAGTCGTAGTCTCTGCTGTGTTAGTCATCACAGCAATCCTGGCCTCCATAATGATTATGATGTTTGCCTTCAAAGCTGTCATCACCTCTTCTAGGTAGTCATCCAGGCTGTTTGGATGTTTTGTGAGAATCCCGATTTCTTGCTCAGTCAAAAGAATGAGCATCCTTGTCTCTCTCTTGAGCTTGATCAGGAGTGTCCATTGAAATTTTGTTAACCAGAGACTTTTCATTGAGGCTCAGGGTACTGAGCAAGGAAGGCAGGCTCTCAAACTCCATGGGATCAAACCTTTCAACCTCTCTGGCTTGCTGGGTTCAAATGGTAAATGCACTACACTGGTATTTAATCCTCTAAAGAATTCCTTAATGTAGACTTCTGTCACATCACAAGTTGTGTTCCCTAGAGAAGGAGCATAGAGTAGCAATTTGGGAAGATGGTTCTGGTTGATACTAGGTTGCCAGGCAGCCTGTGGAGCAGTGGTCAGTTGCAGGTGCCTTATACATGCTGTCATCATTATTGTGCTACGTGCTTGAAACATCTTCCAGATCAGTCCAGCTTACTGGTTTGGGGACAGACATGCTTCCCCCACCAGTGCTACCATCCTCAGCCAGGAAGTCTGTTTGGGAGATAGTCTTCCCCATCTTTTTTGCTTAGGCCACTATGTTGGCGAGTGTTTTCTTTTAAGCATGCAAATTTACAGTTTTAGGTCTACTTACTTATTTGTACCTTGTATCATTTTCTTTGTTCTCCTTAATAATGCTGTTTGCATGCTATTATCACTAATCCCAGCTTTCTTTTTTTTTATATTTGTCTAGTATGTTCTTTTCTGTATTTTGCTTTCATTCTTTTTAAAAAATTTTTTTATTGTTATGTTAATCACCATACATTACATCATTAGTTTTAGATGTAGTGTTCCATGATTCACTGTTTGTGCGTAACACCCAGTGCTCCATGCAGAATGTGCCCTCTTTAATACCCATCACCAGGCTAACCCATCCTCCCACCCCCCTCCCCTCTAGAACCCTCAGTTTGTTTTTCAGAGTCCATCGTCTCTCATGGTTCGTCTCCCCCTCCGATTCCCCCCCTTCATTCTTCCCCTCCTGCTATCTTCTTTTTTTTTTTCTTAACATATATTGCATTATTTGTTTCAGAGGTACAGATCTGAGATTCAACAGTCTTACACAATTCACAGAGTGTACCAGAGCACATACCCTCCCCAGTGTCTATCACCCAGTCACCCCATCCCTCCCACCCCACCCCCCACTCCAGCAACCCTCAGTTTGTTTCCTGTGATTAAGAATTCCTCATATCAGCGAGGTCATATGATACATGTCTTTCTCTGTTTGACTTATTTCGCTCAGCATAATCCCCTCCAGTTCCATCCACGTCGTTGCAAATGGCAAGATCTCATTCCTTTTGATGGCTCATAATATTCCATTGTATATATATACCACATCTTCTTTATCCATTCATCTGTCGATGGACATCTTGGCTCTTTCCATAGTTTGGCTATTGTGAACATTGCTGCTATAAACATCGGGGTGCACCTACCCCTTCGGATCCCTACATTTGTATCTTTGGGGTAAATAACCAGTAGTGCAATTGCTGGGTCATATGGTAGCTCTATTTTCAACTTTTTGAGGCACCTCCATACTGTTTTCCAGAGTGGCTGCACCGGCTTGCATTCCCACCAACAGTATAGGAGGGTTCCCCTTTCTCTGCATCCCCGCCAACATCTGTCGTTTCCTGACTTGTTAGTTTTAGCCATTCTGACTGGTGTGAGGTGGTATCTCATTGAGGTTTTGATTTGGATTTCCCTGATGCCGAGCGATGTTGAGCACTTTTTCATGTGCCTGTTGGCCATTTGGATGTCTTCTTTGGAAAAATGTCTGTTCATGTCTTCTGCCCATTTCTTGATTGGATTCTTTGTTCTTTGAGTGTTGAGTTTGATAAGTTCTTTATAGATTTTGGATACTAGCCCTTCATCTGGTATGTCATTTGCAAATATCTTCTCCCATTCTGTCAGCTGTCTTTTGGTTTTGTTGACTGTTTCTTTTGCTGTGCAAAAGCTTTTTATCTTGATGAAGTCCCAATAGTTCATTTTTGCCCTTGCTTCCCTGGCCTTTGGCGATGTATCTAGGAAGAAGTTGCTGCAGCTGAGGTCGAAGAGGTTGCTGCCTGTGTTCTCCTTTAGGATTTTGATGGACTCCTGTCTGACATTGAGATCTTTCAACCATTTGGAGTCTATTTTTGTGTGTGGTGGTGTGGTGTAAGGAAATGGTCCAGTTTCATTCTTCTGCATGTGGCTGTCCAATTTTCCCAACACCATTTGTTGAAGAGACTGTCTTTTTTCCACTGGACATTCTTTCCTGCTTTGTCAAAGGTTTGTTGACCATAGAGTTGAGGGTCCATTTCTGGGCTCTCTATTCTGTTCCATTGATCTACATGTCTGTTTTTGTGCCAGTACCATACTGTCTTGATGATGACAGCTTTGTAATAGAGCTGGAAGTCCGGTATTGTGATGCTGCCAGCTTTGCTTTTCTTTTTCAACATTCCTCTGGCTATGCGAGGTCTTTTCTGGTTCCATACAAATTTTAGGATTATTTGTTCCTTTTCTTTGAGAAAAGTGGATGGTATTTTGATGGGGATTGCACTGAATGTGTAGATTGCTCTAGGTAGCATTGACATCTTCACAATATTTGTTCTTCCAATCCATGAGCATGGAATGTTTTTCCATTTCTTTGTGTCTTCCTCAATTTCTTTCATGAGTATTTTATAGTTTTCTGAGTACAGATCCTTTGCCTCTTTGGGTAGATTTATTCCTAGGTATCTTATGGTTTTGGGTGGAATTGTAAAGGGGATCAACTTCTTAATTTCTCTTTCTTCTGTCTTGTTGTTGGTGTATAGGAATGCCACTGATTTCTGTGCATTGATTTTATATCCTGCCACTTTACTGAATTCCTCTATGAGTTCTAGCAGTTTTGGGGTGGAGTCTTTTGGGTTTTCCACATAAAGTATCATATCATCTGTATTTTGCTTTCATTCTATCAGTGTCTTTACTTAGTAGGTATCTCTTATCTTTTGAATTTATCCGTATGTATTTGGTTGTGATTATTTCTATGTTTGGACTCTCTTACTTTGTGCTTTCTGATAGTTTTGGTTATTTATGCTTTTTTTTCTGTCCAGACTTTTTGGATTGATTGAGTTGTTGGTGTTTTAAAATTCTTTTCTACTCTACTAGCTTGGAAGTTATACTCTATTATTTTATGATTACCCTTGAAATTCTGCTGGGAATGCAGAATTTCTAAAACTAAACCAGATTATAATCCCTCTGCTGAACAATGCAAGGATTTACACAATTAACTCCTATCCTTTTCTCCCCTGCCCTGCCCCTCCCCGATATGCTTCTCTTCCTTTGTTCCATATATTAATGGTTTATACTGGTTTTGTTTAAATACCATAATAAGATGTTGCTATTTTATTCAGACACTATTTATTTAGATTTATTTGTATGCTTACCAGTTTCTTCGCTTATCTTTCCCTTCTTGTGTCTTAGAGTATCCTTCTGTGGTAATTTTATTCTTTTATGAAACATGTTCTTTAGATTCTCTTAAACTAAAGGTCTACTGCTGATAAACTCTCTGTTGGTTTTTCTGGCAGTGTCCTAATGCCTTCCATATTCCCCAAAGAGATTTTGATGGTTGGATAATTTTTGTCTCAGTTCTTCGTAGATAAGTGTGTTCTCTACCTTCTATGCCTTCATTGTTGCTGTTGAGAATTCTGCTATCACATTAGTCTCTTGTTTTGTGTCCAGTCTCTTCTTTCAAAATATTTAGTATATACTGATATATATATTGAAAACCTTCAATTTCTGTTGATTTTCTTCATTGTTCATTGATTATCTAAAGCTTTCTATTCCCATTGGTTTTCTCATATGCACATGACAGCAGATGTACCTGTAGGCGATGTAATCCTTGAGCCGGTTTTCTCATCTGCAGAATGACAGCATTGGCCTGAATGAGATCTCACAATCTGTGAATATATATTAACTAGAATAGTTAACCAAATAGTACGCAACTGTTTATCTTATCTTTTCATACACATATGTGCATATATACAGGCACATAATATATGCAACTATAAATAAGAGAGTGTAATGATTTTAGAGGATTAGATTCCTGAATTTGGAGGAAGGATCTAAATGGAGCATAGAAAATACTACCAACAGGAAAAAACAAGATAAACGTTATATTCATTAGTATTTCTCAATCTTGACCAGAATGTTCCACTTCATCCTTCAGTAGGTTAAGGGTGGATAGAAGTTTTAGCCTTAAAATATTTGTCATGCAGAAGAAAGCCAAAGTAGCTCAGCTTTGTATTTTATTTAAAAAGTAAAATTTGAAGTGGAGGAATGAAGCAGAACATGAAGAAAATTATAAAAAGAAACATGTAAAATTTACCGGGGACACGACAACTAATGCAGTATATAAATCTGAACTAAGTACTATGGTGAAAAAGTTATGATAAAATGTCTTGTTTGGAACAGTTGATGAAATTACAGATGTGGGCTATATAATAGAGAATGGTAGTGTACTAGTTAAATTCCTGAATTTGATCATCGTCCTATTGTATTTAAGAGAGTATTTTTATTAGGAGATACACACTGAAGTATTAAAAGATGAAGGGGCAATTTACTTAGATAGTTTAGATAAGTAAGCTATCAAGTAAATAAAGTATATAATCTAACATATAAAAATTGTATGTTTATTTATAAATCAACAAGTAGAGGGGGGTGGGGGATGGGGTAACCGGGTGATGGGTATTGAGGGCACGTGTGGTGATGAGCACTGGGTGTTATATGCAACTAATGAATCATTGAACACTACATCAAAAACTAATGATGTACTATATGGTGGCTAACTGAGCATAATAAAAATCAGTCAGTCAATCAACACGTAATGCTGGAGTCTTAGTATCATCATTTATTTTGTTCACATTGACCCAGATATGGTTTATTGGCCATATTTTCTGTAATGCTTATAGTACTGTTTTAATTTTAAATGGAGGACAGCTGTGAATATGTCATTTGATGAGTTGAAAATATTGTATTAGATTTGGTTTCTTAATTGATTCAAACAGTTTGAATCATATTGAAAGTTATACTCTTGTCTAACACATGAATAAATTAACTTTTTAATAGGTATAAGCTGAATATTGGGACATGGCCACTGCTTCACCACGATCTGATACTAGTAATAACCACAATGGAAGGTTACAGTTACAGGTAACTGGTAAGTTATTTTCATAATAACTTAAAATAGTGATTCCCTGATGAAACTTTAATACCTAATTCAACAAATTTATTCCGCAAGTATCTTTTCTTTTAGATTCATACTGTGATGTATTTGTTGCAACAGGCCTTAAAGGTAGAAACTTTCTGAAAGTATTTTATTTATTCAGTAAATATTTATTGAACCTGAGCTGGATGCAGAGAAGATATATCTTCTTTGCTGGTGGGAGAATTTGGGTATTAGAATAAGCAACTTTGAACTGGTCCTTAAATGGTTATTAGGATGGAGAAGGATGCTGAAGGCCTTTTTTCATCTATTCACCCATCCAATCATTGGCAAATATTTAAGTGGAATTACATGAATGAAAACACAAGACCCCAGTTTTTTAGGAATTTACTGTATAGTGTTGAGACAGGTTTGTTTTATATGGAGAATTACCATGCAGAGTGACTATTAACTGGATGCAGTGAAAACTTAGAGGAAAGTTTCTTTAGTCTGCTTGGGATCTGAGATGGCCTGCAGACACAGGAGAACAGGGTAAGACAAGAACCTACAGAGCGTAACACTTTTAATTCTTGCAGGAGGAGTCAATTCATCTCAGATTAGATTGGCAGCAGAAAGCATTAGAGGGAGAAGGAACATTTGCAGAAGATGGGAGAGTCTTGGTTAGAAGACTTCAGATAATTCAT